TTTTTCTATACAAATTAATTATAAAAAATATAATTAATATATCTAAAAAGTACATCTTAAAAGAATTATTAAAAAATATTTTGTGATTTGTATCATAAAATATTACTTTAGGGTAGTGATATAGGGATAATTTTTTTAATTATTTTTTTCTATAATTTTTTCATGTTATTAAATAAATTGATGTAATTAATATCACGAATCTCAAATAAATAAAAAAAAATTAATTATTTAAATAACATATAAAATTGTACAAAAAATAATAAAAAAATATTATCTTTAAATCATTTTTCTATTACTTCATGTATCGAATCAAAAGAACCCTTGATAAGAAAGGAAGATTCCCATTTAATTACTAGTGTTCTACAATTTGATACCAATTCAAATGGTAAATTGCAGGCTCATTATATAATGTAGTATTATATTACATAAAGCATTACTAAAAATAATGTTCTTGTATCATTTACAACCTAAAAGTGTAATAAATAAAGACAATTATCATTTTTATTAGGAAATATTCCAATGGTTCGAGTACCAGCCTTTCAATTCAAAACTTTCTAATTTAAGAGTCAGTTTAGTAATATTTTGGTTTTCAAGTTTTGGCTTTGGTTGCTAAAATTATCTATTATCTCAATAAATAGTTTATTAAATTTGAATTCTATGGAAGCCAGAAGGAGAGGACTTGAAAGCTGCCATTCGCTGCTCTGTGAATTGCAGTATCGGAGTTGTCGCGATTTAGGAGTTGGCTCACTCCTTTGTTTTTTCTTTTTTTTTTGGGCCTTCAGCCTTTGGTTCCGATTCTTTAACGTTTCCTATTATTGGGACTTGTTTGTGCCGAAAATGTTTTTGTTGGGGAAGTGAAATCAAGTGATCGTTTTTGTCAATTATATAATGAAAAGAAAAAATATATATATACTTTTAAGTTTGAACTACAAAACATTAACTATTAAATTAGATTGACTTCTAATAATGCACAAGAGTCCCTCTATTTAATTGTTAGTATTTTAGATTCTAATACAATTCAGACGATAAAACACTAGGCTCATTATATAATGTTATATTATATGTGTATAAATCATTACTAAAAGTAATGTACTTGTATCATTTTTTTTACCATAAAGTTAAAAAAAAAAAAAGGATAATTGCCATTTTTAGTGAAATATTCCAATAGTTTGAGTATTAGCCTCCCAAATCAAAACGTTCTAATTTTAGATTAAGTTTAGTAATAATTTTGTTTATAGATTTTGGTTTTAAATTTTGAATAATTAAAATTGATAATCAAAATCTTAAATTAAAAATTAAAATTAACATGTTAAGTACAAATTTTCAAAATTAATAACTAAAGACAATTTTTTTTAATTACCAAAACTTTTTTGGTTTCCAACCCATTCTCTTCATTTTTCTTAAACCAAATAGACCTTAAAGAATAGATGTATTTATTTAATAAACCCCATATCTATTAAATAAATAAGGATCCTAAATTATTGTTTGAGAACAACTATTAAGCATTGACCCCAATTAGACAAATAAGAAAGTGTTTAGGTTAATTGGACAACTATTAGACAAATAATTATCATGAGTTGAATATCAATTATTTACTATTTTTAAACAACAAATCTAAACATGGCTAAAATCATCACTTACCAATAAGTTTAATCGAATAATCAAAATCAAAGTAAAAAATAAATGGCAATTGACATGTTAATGAAACTCTAGTTTAATAGTATTTTTGGTTTGAGAGAAATGGAGAAGAGTGGAGAAAAGTGGAGAAAATAGATGAGTTTTTTAATTAATTAAATTATAAGATTTTTAAATATTACAATCTAATTGATAAAAAATTTCATCCTCCTCTTTTCTCATCTTCATTTTTCTGAAACCAAAAATAGGCAAGGATGAGGTTTTTGTTACTAACCTCTCCAATCTAGAAAACATACTAGATCCCAACTAATCTAATATCAAATCATGTCGAACACCATAAGAGGAGAAACTCTTCCAATACTTATTTTTTTATTCTTAAGATTTGAATTTGAAATTTTATTTAAAAGAAATTGAATTCTTCCATTTAGAACAATAGGCAGTTGGTAGCAAGGATGAGGTAAAGATGTTGAATTTGCCCCCTAAGTGATTAATGGTTTTGCTTTTGGGCCTTATCTTGAGGGTCAATGAGGTCTGAAAGACTGAAACAACTGTTTTGGGCCGGTACTAATATTTCCTCTGGACCTGGAATGAAAAGGCCTAGATGTTGGAGAACTTTAGTAAGATTTTTGGTTTTTCAAATGCCAAATATCTATCACGGTTTATAGGAATACCTTATATAGCCTTCTTTAGAA